GTTTAACTTGTTGTCCACGAGGACTCCAAGATCTTTTTCACACGTACTGCTCTCGAGCCAGGCATTGTCCCCCATTCTGTATCTTTGTGTACATAAGTATACAAACATCAGGTTACACACACGAATGCAGTTTGAAAACAGCTTTACACTGTGGTGACTCAGTGATGCACACCACCAAATTGCACTGCAGGATGGGTTAAAGGGCGGGCGGGTGGGCGGGGAGGGGCATCAAGCAAAGTTGGGGAAAAGTCTGACATAAGCCTCTTAATGCACTGCAGCGAGTCCCAAATATAAACCAACGTTGCAATGCAAAATCAGCCCTGCAGAATGCAAAATGCATTGTAAACACTCACCGCACTGAAGCACATTGTGAAATTAGGAATGCGGGTGATCCTGGGTGCGCCACACATTCTCTGCCCCAGAAAACCCAGTGATCCCGAGTGATCACCTTAAGGTTGCTATAAATCCAACCTATTTCAAAGCACGCAACAACCACGTCACTTCCAAGCCCCTTTTCATGCCTCCCAAATACTCCCTGCACTCAACGGGTGGGCAGAGAAAAGATTGTCAGCACTCTTAGGATGCCCTTTCTTACCTTGAGACAGTTTGACATCATTTACAGCAGCCCTAATGCCTGGAGGTATTCCTAAAGTTGGGCTCAGCAGGCCACAGAAGACTAGAACTCCCAAAACCTTCCACATCTTCTTGTTCTCACACCTGCAAAGAAAAACCATTATTTACAGCAACCTGTCTTCAGTGGTTTTAAGCACTGCAAGGAAGTTTGCTATACTTGAGTATTTTAAATGAACAAGAAAAATAAATGGATCCATCCGCAGCTTTTCTCCCCCGCCATCCAACTAAAAGCTGAGGATGTATCGACGCTATAGGATTACTGCAGTTTGACATGATGTTACCTGTCATGACTTAATGCTATTTGTTTGTTTGTTTGTTTGTTTGTTTGTTTGTTTGTTTGTCATGTCAGGGCAACCAGTCAATTGTATTACATTTCTAACAGAACAAAACAAAATAACAGACAAAACACAAAATTTGCGAGTTTGGTAGTGGATTAAATGTCCTTTGACCAGTATCTGGCCACTTGGAGTGCCTCTGGTGTTGCTGAGTGCATGTGGCAGGGCTCAGGGTGCATTGCAGCAGGTGGTCAGTGGTTTGCTCTTCTCCGCACTCGCATGTCGTGGATTCCACTTTGTAGCCCCATTTCTTAAGATTGGCTCTGCACCTCGTGGTGCCAGAGCGCAGTCTGTTCAGCACCTTCCAAGTCGCCCAGTCCTCTGTGTGCCCAGAGGGAAGTCTCTCATTTGGTATCAGCCACTGGTTGAGGTTCTGGGTTTGAGCCTGCCACTTTTGGACTCTTGCTTGCTGAGGTGTTCCAGCGAGTGTTTCTGTAGATCTTAAAAAACTAATTCTTGATTTAAGTGGTTGACGTGCTGGCTGATACCCAAACAGGGGATGAGCTGGAGATGTCTCTGCCTTGGTCCTTTCACTATTGTTTACTACTTCCCGGCGGATGTCAGGTGGTGCAATACCAGCTAAGCAGTGTGATTTCTCCAGTGGTGTAGGGCGCAGACACCCCGTGATAATGCGGCATGTCTCATTAAGAGCCACATCCACTGTTTTAGTGTGGTGAGATGTGTTCCACACTGGGCATGCGTACTCAGCAGCAGAGTAGCATAGCGCAAGGGCAGATGTCTTCACTGTATCTGGTTGTGATCCCCAGGTCATGCCAGTCAGCTTTCATATTGTTTCTAACACCCACTTTTTGCTTGATGTTCAGGCAGTGCTTCTTGTAGGTCAGAGCACGGTCCAGAGTGACTCCCAGGGATTTGGGTGCACTGCAATGCTCCAGTGGGATTCCTTCCCAGGTAATCCTCAGAGCTCGGGAGGCTTCTCTATTCTTGAGATGAAAAGCACATGTCTGTGTTTTAGATAGGTGACCAGCCACTGGCAGAAGGAACAGAGAGTTTCATCTATGCTGGTGATCGGGCCATTACTGCTCAAGCAGGGAGCTTTGAGATGGTTGAACAGAAGCTCTCCGAAGCTCTAGGTGCTCTTACTGCCTATTACAAGGAAAACCAGCTGATCCCCAACCCATCTAAAACCTGCAATGCTATGGAATTCCAGGAGCTGTAGTACAGTGAGGGGCCTGCAAAATTTGGTGGAGAAGGGTAAAGTGGTTGCAAAATAGAAACGTATTAGAGCTTACCAGACCCTCCTGGGAAGAATTGGTGGTCTGAATTAGTGCCGCGAAAGTCCTACAGACCTTATGCCGCTCTTCTCCTTCTCCTTCCTCTGACACCGGCTTCAGCCTGACCACCTTTTTTACAGTCCAAAGCCAGCCAAGGCACATTTTTGAGCTAGGCATGGGAACTTAATTTAACAATCCTGTGTAATTATGAGATGAATGCAAAGCTTGAATTCCTTTCCGACCAGCGGTGAATACCTGGGTCACCTTGAAGGGCAGGAAAGTATCCACAGGGCTAAGGCTGCAGTTTGGATTTCATTCTTTGGGAATGTAATTGAAAACTTCTTTCTAGGAATGTCTAGATCAGTGTTTGTCAACCTGGGGGTTAGGGACCCCTGGGGGGTTGTGAGGGGATATCAGAGGGGTTGCTAAAGACCCTCAGAAAGAACAGTATTTTTTGTTGGTCATGGGGGTTCTGTGTGGGAAGTTTGGCCCAATTCTATCGTTGGGGAGTTCAGAATGCTCTTTGATTGTAGGTGAACTATAAATCCCAAGAACTACAACTCCCAAATGACAAAACCAATTTTTTTTTGAGTGAAGGACATACATTGGGTTGTTAGGTGTATGCTGTCCAAATTTGGTGTCAATTTACCCACTGGTTTTTGAGTTCTGTTAATCCCACAATGAACATTACATTTTTATTTATATAGATGAACAAGAAAAATAAATGGATCCATCCGCAGCTTTTCTCCCCCGCCATCCAACTAAAAGCTGAGGATGTATCGACGCTATAGGATTACTGCAGTTTGACATGATTGTAACTGTCATGACTCAATGCTATGGAATCCCGGGAGCTGTAGTACAATGAGGGGACTGCAAAATTTGGTGGAGAAGGGTAAAGTGGTTGCAAAATAGAAATGTATTAGAGCTTACCAGACCCTCCTGAGAAGAACTGGTGGTCTGAATTAGTGCCGCGCAAGTCCTACAGACCTTACGCCACTCTTCTCCTTCTCCTTCCTCTGACACCGGCTTCAGCCTGACCACCTTTTTTACAGTCCAAAGCCAGCCAAGGCACATTTTTGAGCTAGGCATGGGAACTTATTTTAACAATCCTGTGTAATTATGAGATGAATGCAAAGCTTGAATTCCTTTCCGACAGGCGGTGAATACCTGGGTCACCTTGAAGGGCAGGAAAGTATCCACAGGGCTAAGGCTGCAGTTCTGATTTCATTCTTTGGGAATGTAATTGAAAATTTCTTTCTAGGAATGCCTAGATCAGTGTTTGTCAACCTGGGGGTTAGGGACCCCTGGGGGGTTGTGAGGGGATGTCAAACTCGGAGGGGTCGCCAAAGACCATCAGAAAGCACAGTATTTTCTGTTGGGTCAATGGGGGGTCTGGGAAGTTTACCCCAATTCTGTCGTTTGTGGGGTTCAGAATGCTCTTGATTGTAGGGGAACTATAAATCCCTGCAACTACAACTCCCAAATGTCAAGGTCTATTTCCCCCAAACTCCATCTGTGTTCATGTTTGGGCATATGGAATATTTGTGCCAAGTTTGGTGCAGTTCCTTCATTGTTTGAGTCCACAGTGGTCTCTCGATGTAGGTGAACTACAACTCTCAAGGTCAATGCCCACCAAACCCTTCTAGTGTTTTCTGTTGGTCATGAGAGTCCTGTGTGTCACCTTTGGTTCAATTCCATCATTGGTGGAGTTCGGAATGCTCTTTAATTGTAGGTGAACTATAAATCCCAAGAACTACAACTCCCAAATGACAAAACCAATTTTTCCAATATTTTCTGTTGGGTCAATGGGGGTTCTGTGTGGGAAGTTTGGCCCAATTCTAGCGTTGCTGGAGTTCAGAATGCTCTTTGATTGTAGGTGAACTATAAATCCCTGCAACTACAACTACCCAAGTGTCAAGGTCTATTTTCCCCAAACTCCACCAGTGTTCACATTTGGGCATATCGAGTATTCGTGCCAAGCTTGGTCCAGATCCATCATTGTTTGAGTCCACAGTGCTCCCAAATGACAAAATCAACCCCGTCCCTCCAACCCCACCAGTATTCAAATGTGGGCGTATGGAGTATTTGTGCCAAATTTGGTCCAGTGAATGAAAATACATCCTGCATATCAGATATTGACATTACGATTTATAACAGTAGCAAAATGACAGTTATGAAGTAGCAACAACAAAAATTTTATGGTTTGGGATCACCACAACATGAGGAACTGTATTAAGGGGTTGCTGCATTAGGAAGGTTGAGAAAACTGGTCATCCTACTGGTGGCCCAGTTCTGCTCCAAGGTCCAAATGTGTGTGCCATGCTATAGAGCAGCGGTTCTGCCTCCTGTTTCCAAATTGGGTCTGGCTCCTGTTTTCTTCTGTTTGTGTGGCTTTCTCATTATCTCTTGTCTTCTTTCTTTTCTCCTGCCTTCCTTTCGGCCACTTCTTCCTCCCCGCACATCCGATCCCTGCTGGATGGTGGTTTCTGTTAGAGGAGGAGGATAAACATGAAGGTTGGACACGGGCCCAATGGTTTCCAAAAGTGTGGGCTATTCTTCCAAGTTCCAAAATCAGTCAGTTGATTGCACTGCCTTTTATTCATATGTTTTCACATTCACCAATGTTCCCCGTATATTCACTTGCCCAGAGATTGGAAAAAATGCTCTTGATTTTCCAGATGACTTTTCCGAGGCATGAATGGCTCTTAGTCAGGTTAAGAATCAATTCTGCTTCCTGTTGAGATCCTTCTTCTCTTCCCCCATATCTTCCTTTTCCCATTCTTCCTGACTCCTCCATTATATCACAAAAGATGTTAATCTGTCAGGAAAAGAGAAATTCCTGGTTACACAGCCATTCACCGAAGGGAGCGATGGTGGCCCCATAGCCCCACTCTGGAACCCTGGTTCTGGCATTCCCACCCCAGAGGCCTTTGCAGGGGCCAGTTGTCCAGCAGAGAAGGAATAAGGACCAATATTGGCCGAATAGAAAGCATTTTGCATGGCCTCTATTGCCGCGCCATGCGCCCTTAGATAAAGGCGTAGGTGTGTTCGATTTGGCTTGCTGGGCTCTTTCCGCCACACGCTCTCTAGCTGTCTCATATGTTCCTTCTTCAGTTCTTCATCTCTCCTCCATACATCACAAAAGATGTTGATCTGCCAGGAAAAGAGAAACCCCTGGTTGGAGCGACACAACAGGACTATTAGGATTCCCAGTCAATCCCAGTCACTCAGGCTTTATTTTTGGGGGTGGGGAGGGGGATGGCCAGCATGTTCCTGTTTTTCATTAGCCGCAGTTCTCATAGGCCCACCTAATTCCAGCGCCTCCTCCATCACTTTTTGCTGCCTTTCTTCCCTCTCCTCCATTATCCCACAAAAGATGTTAATCTGCCAGGAAAAGAGAAATTCCTGGTTACACAGCCATTCGCTGAAGAGAGGGATGGTGGCCCCATAGCCCCACTCTGGAACCCTGGTTCTGGCATTCCCACCCCAGAGGCCTTTGCAGGGGCCAGTTGTCCAGCAGAGAAGGAATAAGAACCAATACTTCCTCTAGGTCTTCCTCCTTCTCTTCCCCCATATCTTCCTTCTCCGTTTGGTGTTCTCCTCCAAGCACTGCTCTCTCCTCCATTATCCCACAAATGATGTTAATCTGCCAGGAATAGGGAAACCCCCGGATACACAGCAATTCACCGAAGGGAGCGATGGTGGCCTCCTCCTCTTCCTCTTCTGATGTTCCTCCTCCTTCTCCCCTTCCTTCTCCTCCGTTTGTTCTTCTCCTCCAAGTGCTGCTCACTCCTCCGTTATCCCACAAAAGATGTTAATCTGCCAGGAAAAGAGAAACCCCTGGTTACTAGGCCTGTGCGGTTTCGTTCGTTAATTCGTTATTTCGTTATTAATTCGTTAATTTTACCATTTCCGAAGCGATATTGAAGCATATTCCCAAACCCGGAAGGGTTTTTAAATATCGAACCAGCAGCCCCCAGAGTTTTAACGAGCCTCCGCTCGTTTCGTTAATGGGGTGGAGGCTGCTGGAGTGCTGGTGCATGGGAGCCAATCCGGCGCTCCCAAACAGTGCACCACCATGGGTCCGTGGCTGCCTGTTTTTGATTGGCCGGCGAGCCCTTTCAAAGCAGCTCCGCCCGGCCCGTTGCTTCAAGAGGGCGAGGGAGTTTGCATTGGGTTGGCTTGGCAATGGCTGCTCTAGCAACTCGGATTGGATTCATTCCTTGCTGCTGTGAGTGCTGCTTGCTTCATTTGCTGTCTCTTGCCTG